GGTTAGCTTAAAAGGGCACCCAATAAAGAAAAAAAGTTTAATATCTTTTCGATTTCAAAAAGTACGGAGTTTTATGTTGTTTACAAATAAGATGTTTTTTGCGGGTTTATAAACACATCGAACAATCTCTCCAAACTGCTTGTAACAATAACACGAAAGAGAATCTAGGATAAGACTGGTTCTTTGAAGTAACTCAACTATATAAATAGAGTGAGTTGTCATCATTGGCATCAATTTCAAAGATAATAAAATTGTAACGACTACTTCTGAGTCTCATATTATTCATGAAAGACAGTGCGATTATTATTTAAATACTATCAATATCTTAATATGAATTCAACCAAGATGCTTGTGACATATTAAATACTTATTTACGTATGAATGGAAGGTGACATGAAATGCAAATTCATGCAATTTTGTCATTATTGGGAAATCAGACAACAGGAAGTCAAATTTGCTTGGTTATTATCAATGAATCTAGTAAATTATTGATTATGATTAACATTAATTTTTCAAAATAATCTGACAGACATACTATCTTAACATTTAATACATTGATTGCTTCGATTAATTGTCAACAAATGACAGATTTTCCACACTCCCAAGCCACTAGAATCAGTGTGCTGGGGATTTCTATTTATTTTATTACAAGGAAACTTATTGACTTTTGTGCTCAATGGAAGGTCACACAAACATCAGAAAATGACATATTTATTTAATTCAGTTCAGCCTCAATAAAAACTCACAAATTAAAAATGAAATTTGTGACGTTTTTAATTAACAACAATTTTTTTAAGAAAAAGAAAATAGGTTTATATAAATACGAGATCAGCAATGTTTTTACTAGCTCGACAAATTAATGCAATTATAATTTTTTTTTATCACGGAACAAAAAAAGAAAATTCTTCAAGGATTCTCCACTTTGAATCTGTGTCTAATATTTATTTTTGGTTCCTCCAATCATCATAGTTATATATAATTAATATCACTTCGTGCAAAGTAAATAAGCCAAACAGAATCTTTATCGAGTGTAGAATAGTGAAGAGAGCGAGGCCAACGCCACCAAATACGAGAGCTTTGTTGGGCATTGAAAATCCACAAAATGACACCAAAGCGAACTTTCCAAAGGCATTCCAGTCAACAAAGTCAATGACCAAAATAGGGAATCTACCAGTTCTTTTAAGTACTTGTTTGGATAGCTTAAAAAGTTACTCTTAATTTTATCACACAATTCAAAACTTTTCAATCACATATTTTATTAACTTTTTTAAAATCTGACAAAAAAATTTATCAAAAATTTTGTCAAATAACCTTTGATTCATAAAACTGCCCGTGCCATTCAAACTATTTTCTAATCATGAGTATTAGATAAACAAATTCTCACTTGAGCTGCTAGACCAACTAGCCGAACAAAACTGGGTATCACTCAGTATACTCTTAAAAAGGCCCGCGTAAATCATGGCCCAAGAAGGAAACCAAACTTGGGCCGATTACTGGGAAAATTCAGCCCAAATTTGTATCACTAACAAAACTTGCAGCCAGCACAACAGTTGCACGTAGCACTACTATAAAAGGATCATGCTATATGTACACTTTGTTTGACATTGTTTTTGATATTGTGTCACATGTCGATTCATGAGTGGACAATTTTTAAATGCAACACACTATCCCGCCAATTGTAATTTGAAAATGAATGGAGCGTCAACAATCATGTCAACTAAATAATGTACAAATAGCTTAATCCACTATAAAATTAGGATCATTCTACTTGTACATTATTTTTTACATCATCTTTGACATTGTTTCACGTGACGGCACATGATTAGACATTTTTTGAATTCAACATACTTTTCTTTCAAATACATTTTGAATTTGTAAAGGATATCAAATTTTATGTAATTCATAGAATGTACAAGAAGCATTATTGAAAAAATTAATATTTCATATCTTACACCTCATCCCATTTTTATCCTACATATACTGATTTTTAGACATTATATAATATGAAAATGAAAAGTAGCACGATAAGTGGATTAATTTAGAAAGGTCAATTTCCCTTTCCAAACACGCATCAAAAACGGTCTAAATATTTTCCCCCAAATCTCGCAATTACCTCAAAAAAACCCAATCTCACTTCTCTCTTGCTCTCTGCAAAAACGAAATGCTCTCATCCTTCTGGCGTAATCAAAATACCAAAATCAATTAACCAAGAAAACCACATCATAGATCGATCTCCTCACCACACATACATCACAATCTGTGTCCCCAATTTCAAAGGAAGATTTTTTACCATACCACGATATTGATAATCGAGATTTCATCCAAGAAATTATTGGAGATGGAGTAAACAAGATTTCTTCCTGGCCAAGAAGCACCCTATCATGCAGGCCCAGCAATTGTCTTATCATACGTTGCTTCTGGCATTTCTGCAATTCTCTCTGTTTTCTGCTATACCGAATTTGCAATAGAAATTCCAGTGGCTGGAGGATCATTTGCTTACCGATGAAAGCTATCGTTAGCCTACAAGGAGGGTGTTAACAGAGGGGAATCTTCAAAATCTGTCGAGATAGTGGAGACGAAAATGGAAAATGCACGTACACCTTCGTGTCCAATAACACGATCTATTACCATTCTATCAGACTCAACGACTCCCCAACTGCCAAGGAAGTGTTGAAGACCACCTCGGATAATTCCATCCTTGTTCTTTCTTTGACAAGAATTACTTGTAATGCCAAATGATTATATTTGTGTGTTAAATGTGACTGCCCAATTTATTTAGTCACCTTAATTTTTGAAATGTTACACTGAAATTAACATTGAAGGTGGTAGAATTTTACTAATTATTTATGCTGTAATGTACTCAGTGGAAAGTCTGGTGACGTTATTTTTTTGTTGGATAGTTCACATTTTGATAATCTTCATCTTACAAGTAGCTATTGGATGAATTAAACGCACCAGGAACATTGCAATGTATTTTTGATAGCTTAACTGTTATGATGTTAATGAATTTATGTTAAGTCAATTACTATTGGTACATCATTTGCAGGCTATGCAATTCAAATTTTAATTAGAACACATATTTCTGCATTCATATGAGTTGGAATGTGACGTGACAATAGATTTTTTTGCATCGACGTGCACATGAAATATTGCGCATTGTATCTAAACTGTTGGGCGAACATGTATGTATGTAGTGTATCAGGTTGTATATAAGCAGAATTAATGTTTATTGGAACAGCGAGTACATAGTATCCATCTCAAGTTATGTCTATGATAACATGAAATGCCAAACCACAACAATGGACATGTTTTGTATAGCATACATTATAAGACTATCATCGAGTAAATTCTTATCACGAAATATTTGATTTTTAGCAACAAATTCCACAACTGTTTGCGACACAACATCAAATATTTCACCAGTTTCGTATTCTTCCATCGGAGGAGCATTCACATCTATGCTTATTGCAATTTCTTGCAATGTTGGAACTGTTACAGACTTCAGTATTGAGACATAATTTGCTGCTACAATATCAATTGCATTACAAGATTTCATCCAAGAAATTATTGGGGATGGAGCAAACAAGATTTCTTCCTGGCCAAGAAGCACACTATATTCCAGGCCAGCTATTGTCTTATCATATGTTGCTTCAGGCATTTCTGCAATTCTCTCTGTTTTCTGCTATGCTGAATTTGCAATAGAAATTCCAGTGGTTGGAGGATCATTTGCTTACCTGAGAGTAGAACTAGGAGACCTTAAAGTCGTTATTGCAATAGGAAATATACTTCTTGAATCAATTGTCAGAAGTGCAGCTGTCGCTAGAGCTTGGACTTCATACTTCACAAGTCTTTTTGAACCGTCCTCCCAACTCATTACGCATACATACAAGTCTCGATGATGGATATAACCGTTTGGATCCGATTGCTGTTGGAGTTCTCGCAATTGCATCAACAATTGCAATGGCCAGTGCAAGGAGAGCTTCCTACATAAATTGGATTGCATCAGCAATAAATAATTTGGTGATTTTATTTGTGATAATTGCGGGATTTTCTCATGGCAATGCATCCAATTTATACGTGCAATCTACAGCGGTCGCTAGAGCTTGGACTTCATACTTCACAAGTCTTTTGAACCGTTCTCCCAACTCATTACGCATACATACAAGTCTCGATGATGGATATAACCGTTTGGATCCGATTGCTGTTGGAGTTCTCGCAATTGCATCAACAATTGCAATGGCCAGTGCAAGGAGAGCTTCCTCCATAAATATATATATATATATATTTCTTCTGCTAGAACATACATGCAAACTGATCCAACCAGTATGAATTATAGAATCTTGCAGCCACAAAAATCATGAAATGGTGATGAAGAGTGATTAAGAAATCATATGAAAAAATGCACCATAAATGGAAAACCAAAATTCATTTTTAATTACCGTGAAAGAAGGAGAAGTTTGAATGTTTTCCTTATTTAACTGCCCATCCCATGAATGATCTTCAGTTATAATTTTGTATTTTTGGAATGTTCAAATGACAGTAATTTTAATGATTTTATATGGAATGTATAGTATTTTTTAAAATTTAAAATATGTATGGTATTATATGAAAAAGTTTATATTTCATAGGCAAATGTGATTTTTCCCCGAAAATCAACTACACTGTACCAATCTCAACAACAACTAACATTATTTACCATTTGCTCTTCACCTGCTGCCAAATCATTGAATTGATTAATCAACATAATAGTAATTGAAAAATTAAAACCATAAAACTATTAATGTGAATAATATGTTATGTCCTAGACCGACCTCTCATGAAATCGATTGAGATGAAGAAAGAAAGAAAGAAAGAAAGAAAGACACGCCATATAGAAGTGTTTCAATTTTATCTTCAAACGTGCCCTTAATGCAAATGACGTGTTTAAATTTCTAAATCATACGAAATAATTAACTAACTGGACAAAGATTCATTAATGTTCATTCATGCACAAATATAGAGAAAGAAATTATTCAAAATATATTGCTAATATTTCTTCATTCATTCACAAAGATCAGTTACGTACAGTAATCAGCCTGCAACAGTAGAATAGCTAGGAAGATTATTACATCAGTAATCAGAGACCAAGGTGGTCATCAGAATCAGCGGTGGAAGTAATGGCAGCGGCAGGCACTTGAGCATTAGCCTGACAGACCCCATTATTCCATTCAAACTGATCGCACTGAGGCAGTTGGATCTGTTCAAATGTCTCCTTCTCAGCCACTGGATGATGCATGTGAGGAAACGGCACTGAGATTCCATGGATCACGATCCTGCTGTTGTGCAGCAGATCAATGGTCGTGATTCTAACGTAGTTGATCTTCATTGGAGCCAACGGACCTCCTCCACCGGCAGTGGTCACTACCAGATTCTGGCCAGCCTCCATGGTTGGTAAAACAGTAGTCGCCTGTAGACTAACAAGTTCAGCCGCTGTCAACCTCTTGTTCGGAACCACGTGGTACCTGAAGTTAGACAAGTAAGCATTACCTCCGCCGGAGAAGATGGAGGTGTCGTCTAAAGCGAACACCGTGATAACCTTCAACTCCGAGAGTTCAGCGAATTTCACACGGAGAGCAAGAGAAACTACGCTGTAGCCGGTGGTACGGAGGCGGAGGATAGCATCCTTCAACATCAAGCGCATGATAGACGAGAACGGGGTGGTAACTGATGTAGACAGCGCCGGCGGAGGGAAGGAGAGTGACGTCATGCGCTCAACATTACATGACAGAGGAGACAGATGCGAGACGAAGCCCTGAAGACCGTGAATAACAACGAGACCATTGTTGAACAAATCTGGGCGCGTGATTTCCAAACCGTTGATGAAAACCTTCCCCTTGTTAGTGTGCCCACCGGCGGCGGAGGCGGAGGAGCTGGTAGTGATTGTGACGCAGCGGTTGGGAGCTAGAGTTTCGATCTTGGTCCCGAACGCCAAGGAGTGAAGAAAATGCAGCGGATAGAGACCTGGGACGGAGAGCTCTTGAAGTAGGAGAGGAAGAGAGCACGACGGGCAAGTCAGGAGTGAGGAATCGAAGGGGGCGAAGATAGTGAGTGGCGTAATGGCAGAGAGATTGGCGGAGGCAGTGGCCGTGGAAAGTTCCTGAAAACCTAGAGTTGACAGGATGGTAGCGAACAGAGTGGGGGAATAGGTATGAGAGTTCTGGAAAACAGTCGACGATGGAGAAATAGATGGAACTGAAGTGCCGCCGTCGAGAGTGGTGTCTGAGGAGGTGGCGCCGGAGATGAAGAGGGAGATGAAAATGAGGATCAACAGGAGGATGAGGAGCTGGAATCGGAGAGGAATCGCCATTTTTATGGTTGATTTTAGTGCAGTGTGTGTGAGACTAGAATAGTGAGTGAAGAATTGGTACGTATGCATTATATATAACAGTACTCTGTAACGAATTGATGGCGGGAAAATGAAACGGAATTCAGGAGTTCGTTACCAGAGATATTATGGAGGCGTTGGACGATTTTATCCTTGGTTTCTTTTTCAGACTACGAATTTACCCTTCGTCATTTGTTCTAGAATGTTCTAAAGCATATGCATTATTAATGTTCCCATGATTAAATTTTGCATAGTATATTTAGATTTTTTTGGTAAAATACTCCCCATAATACAATGTTCTTTTATTTTGAGCAAGCCTAGCTTAAAAGTGTAAAACAGAATGACTCAGCCTACCAACATCTAGCAAGAATTAACATGAATATCAATAGCATGTTTGACATGATATTTGAAAAGTGAAAAATCAAACTAATAAGCTACTTGAACATATTTGAATAATTTTTTTAAAAAATATTTTCTCTCTCTAGAAAAGCTTTGAGAGAAAACTGAATTATAATAGCTTCCTCAATAAGTTCATTCTTATCGGAGCTGATTTTAAGGGGAAAAAATTATATTTTGCATTATTGGTCACCTATTTCAACCGTTTTGTTGGCTTTGGCTCTCACAGCTAGGACCGACTTAGAAAGATAACGGTCAAAAAATGAATTTTTCTAACCTAAAAAATCGGCTCTAAACAGAATCTACATTAAGTAATTTTCCAATTATCCAAAAATTGAATTTCTATAAATACTATTCCCACATGGAGTTACATGTTAGCATTAACAATAACCACCGAGAAAAGATATTGCCAAGAACAACAATGAACTGCAGATACGAAAAACCAGAGTCCAGGCTGCGAAAATATACACAATTATTCACCATTGTCTTGAATCCCAACAAAAGATTATGTACAAGATAGATACCCATGTCCAAGTAACGATACTTCAAAATAAATGAAATCCTAGTTTTCAGATCTGCGCTGTCTGAACAATATCGGGAACCAAGAAACAGCATATCTTGCTCTCAGATGGAGTAGCTTAGTAAGTTAAAGACGCAATGGGGGTTTAAGGTAAATAGCAACTCTAAGAATCAAATAAGCTAATTAAACTTTGCAGGCAAGTTGAGATCAAATGGGCTGCCCTCAAAACTTCCTTTTCTCGCACGCTTTCGTGATGAGTGATTGATCTCGTCTGATGTTCCAGATGCTGATGGTAAATCTGATTCTATTATACACCCTACAAAATGATACATGACAACATGAGCATATATACATGGACACTGTATAAATCCAAGTCCACTACAATATTTCTTGAAGAAAATAATAGATTTAATGTTCAAGTCATCGTTGATCCTATAATTCAACAAATCACTCAGGTAAGCCCTGGGGAATGCCTGCTATCACAGAACAGATTCTTAAGAGTATCCCATTAGCCAGATTGATCAAAATTTGCGCAAGGTGATTAATCATTTGACGAGCAGGGAAACTCTATGAATGGAACAAATTGAACTAATAGATTCAATTCATCACATATATCAGACGATTTCAAAAGAAAGAAATTTACAAATTTGAAAGCATGTTTTTAAGCGTTTCAGGTAGCATTACAAACCAAAAACAAATGGAAAACTACATGCTGAGCGAGTAAAGATCTGATACGAAACTGTAAATTTTTGAGAATTCTCAATATGCTGCACTAATAAGCTTTTAGTTTTAGCTTTAGCTTTCTTGCTTTTTTACTACTGCTAACAATACACAATTAGAATGCTAACTTCCACAAAAGAGAAAATTAGGAAAAAATTAAAAATTCAAGGAATCAGTATCAACTGAGGAAAACTAAACCCCTAGCACATTGCAAATTCGTGCAGCAGTTCAGGTGCATAATAAGCTGCCACTTCAGTGTCTAGATCATTTTCATCAAAAAATTAATAAATATCTTTACACGAGTAAGATTGACATGAAAATTTTAATTTAAAACAGCATATTACTCAAGAATGTCCTTTTTACTTGAGGTTTTTTTGACAAATCTTATAAAAGTTTTAGCAATTTTTGATACAAGTTGATGTAATGTGTGGTTGAGAAGTTTATAAAAAGTAGAGGCCATGAAATTTGGGGCTAAAATTGAAATTTGACAAAATTTAAAAAAGTTTTATCAAATAAGCACTTAATAAAAGAATTCAAAGTAGAGGAATCTTAATGTTTTTAGAAAATAGCCATAGCATCATGTAAAGTT